AAATTTCATTTTAGGAAGTTTAACCTCTACACTCAATTGACAGTCAAAACAACTCCTTCCCTTTGCTTTTTCTTAATATCATACACACTTTCATATTTTCTGCTTCCTACAAAGGATTTCCAGTTGCTGTTCACTAACTCATATCTCTGAGATACACCCTTATTTGCTAACACAGGGAAGCTAGTGCATAGTAAATCAGGATGTAACTTTCCAGCCCACTAGGTCCTCTGAACTAGTTTTTATGTAGATATTCATAAATTATTATCCTATTAATTCAATGTAAAAGTAGTTCAAAGTAACCCAACGTACTTTCAAAATAGAGCAAGCTGCTTTGCACAGACTAATATAACATTGCTAATCAGATCAGCAGAGACCAGTTGCACAGGTGAGGGACCCAAGCAGTGCTCAGGACACACCACTTCAGATTGTGCCTGCTATGGGTTTAACCATGTGATTTTGGGAAACCCCTCCTGAGCTGCAAGAGGCCAAGCTGCTGGGTGACACAGACAAGTGCCAGCAGAAGACACTAACAGTCCTTTTCTAGAGCATCAGCCTGGATGAGGCCTGGTAGAAGCACAGATCTGATCACACTATGCATGCTGCGACTCACCAATAAGACCGTACGATCCCTATCACAGCAAGGCAGCTGAAAGAGGCCCAAACAGAGCCACCACACTGTCAGTAGTCTGACTACACCCATGTATTCCATTTTTCCTCTAAAAAAGGCAGAAGACGGAAAACTTATTTTGTTCAGGGTTTTGTTTGACCATGCTTGACCATGCCAAAACTTGAATCAGTCATTTGACATTAGCATCGCAACCAAATACCAGGCACGTACAGCAATTGTTGCTTGCTCTTTCCCCTTCAGGCTGGTATAACAGCTTTGAAACATGATATAGTGGCCCAAAAGGGGAGTCAATAATCCCTTAACAATGGAGTAGGTCGGCTTGAAAAAAATTAGTTTAAGCAGCTCAGTGAGACACTGCAACCTTTCTTGCTGAAACCTTGACATTTGCCAATGCATAAGATCATACTTATGAGGCTTTTCAGCTTACATGAGACATGACAAAGGGCAGAGACATCCAAGCTTTAGAGCCACAAGCTCTTTCAGATTATCTAGGTTTGACCAACTACTTTGTAGAGTTATTGCTACTTTGCTGACAAAATGCCTTGGTGTCTAAGAACCACTTTCCTCATCATAGTCATGATGTGGAAGAACTTCAATTCTATTTACTGACACTTGACAAGTTTTTCATTTAAAAAAACCCAAAACCATACATCTGAATCAGGTCAAAGACAGCTTTTATTGCCCTTAGACTAGACCTGACAACAATCAACAGAAACAACCTCTGACATGCCACAGAGCAACAATCATTTGCCTTTTCAATTAATTATTCCCTCATTGCACATGTATAAGCCCCATTAATGCTAAAATAAGATAACTTGTGTGCACAGATAGGTGAATAAAAAAGGGGATGAATGGTCCCAATTTAGCCATGTCTTGCTGAGTATCCTTGACTCATCAATGCTTTACAAAAATAACTACTTCCAGCAACCTCTGCCATTTATGACATGAGGCAAAGCAAAAGAAAAGATAAGAAATTTAACTTCTGATTTTTGCAAAACTTAAAGAGTTAGTTTCTGTAAACATCTGGGATGAACACAAAAAACTATCCCAAATCTCTCCACAGGTTGGGGGAAGTCACAGAAATACAAAGACATGTACTTCAATGTGTCCATTTTTTCTGCCTTGAATGTGTAATAAATGCTTATGCAAATATCAATGATCTTTAAAGAAGCAGCCAGCTTAAAATAGATAAGGGCTGGGAAATTAAGGCACATGAAATCTAAACTGTTTAATAGGCAATTAATAGCTGAATCAGTATGCAACAAGATCTCTTATTGCATTAAAAAGTGACAACTCTTGGTTGTACAAGTGACAGCTTAAAAGATGCCTTAATCAAGAAAGAAAAATTATTTATTGAACTTTTCAAATGTCAAATTAAGCTTCTTCACTAAATGTTCATTAACTGCCAAGAAAATTCTTATTAATTTTAAAGCACCATGAATGCACTCTCACGCAATGACCTTATTTGATGCAAGCTTCATTTCTTGCAAACCTATGCTTCCCTTCTTCTGATGAAGTGATATTAGCAAAGATCCTACGACCTCTCTTATCAGATAAGATTTTAAGACACAGGAGAGATCCTATTCCTCTGCTCTGACCAAAATACTAACCTGAGTGTCACATTACCAGAGCCTTAAAGTCACACTAACTTCCAGTATGCTTCACCATGCTTCACATTACAGCAGTCTGAGGCAGCAACATAGCAACATCTTACACAAAATATTTGCTGACTCGCCTCCCCAATCTGCTGGTGACATAAACCACATAAGACCCCAAACATACCATATACACACAGAGTAGATAGCAATTCAGAAGTTAAAAAGCAGCATATTGCATAAATGCTGGCTGCGCCCTTCCCCTTGTGGTTTCCAGCTCTGACTCTGTTCGTTGTTCTTCATGAGCTAGCATGTTGTCTGAGAATCTGCTTAATACATTCATCCCTTATTCCCCACAAGGGAACAGCCCACCTATTTTTTTTTTCTCCTAGTACAGAATTTGCCAGGCTTTCTCCATGCCAAAACAACCTTGGAAAACTACCCTGATGCCAAAGGACTGAAGGATATGTCAAGATCCCTTTCTGCAGCTAGGAGTAGGAATTTACAACTTGGCCTCCTCTCATTAATGGGATTTTGCTGTCTTTTGTGTTAGTGGAATCTAGCCCTCCAAAAAAATCCTCTTACTCATTCCTGCATAGTCATTAAGGCTTCCCTTGTGGACAGTGGTGAGAGAAATTAGGCTCAATTAGCAACCAGCAAGATGAAACTCCAGTGCACACTTTCAGATACAGTAACAGCATTAAAAAAAAGGGAAAAACAAACAAACAAACAAGAAAACCAACCCACAGCGTCCCCCCACAAGATTGCTCCTACTGCAATCACCACAGCAGCCACTGCAAGGTGTTAACTCTACGCACATACAAGTCTCCAGTGCAACTGCGTCCACTTTGCCAGCTGCTCCGGCTGCGCAAAGCAAACACAATGCTAGTGCTGCAACGGGCAGGTGCCTTCAGACTTTGTCTCCTAGGTGTTTTCCAGTATAACCTTAAAAGCTAAGAGCCCATAAAATCAGTATTAGAAAAAAAATCTCCACATATCAGCCCAAAAGGTCTGGTTTTAACAATGGATTCACATTTGCTTGGGGGAAGGTGGAGGGGGACACCTGACAGTAAACATGGTAAATCACCAAAGGTAAAGGAAAAAGAAGACTGGGAGAGTAAAGGATTCTCTATGAGAGAGAAAGTGCATAGAAATTACAGATGCTACTCATGAATAAGCAAGAGAGACTGGAAAGCCTTCAGCAACAAGGGTGGGTATCATATTACCACCAGACACTTTCTGTCTTACCAGCGCAAGCCAATGATTTTGGAACAAAATTAGACTGTGGGTAGCATACATCGGGCAATATTTGAACAAGAACATACTACCCAGCTAAACCACCAGTCTTAGTGACTACTGACAGCATATCTTTGGTGTTGTCCTGGTAGAGGATATAAATACAAGCTGCATCTGAAGCAAATCACTTCTGGAGCTGCTGTCACAGCACTGCTCCTGCTACTCACATAGTACAGCTGTCGCTACAGTATAGCCTTAGACTACTATGCGGATCAGATCATGTTATATCACATATATCTGGTGATATTACACTAGAATTGTCATGTACCTTTACAATGCTCATTAAATTTACATCAAGTAAAGCAAAAGGGAGTAATGGTTTTCAAAATATTAAGTCTCTGAAGTCTTCTTTCAAATACATTCTTTTGTTTGGTGATTTGTCTGCCAAAATAGTGCTAATAACTTGGATCACCCATGAATGCCAGACACTGAACCTCTGGGAGACAAGCTAGGAGCCTTCTCAACCTGGGGATAAAAAATTTTCTGCTGTTTCACCCATGCTTAGGGTAAAAAAAAAAAAAGAAACGTACTCGATCTCAAACCTTTTTTGATTGTTTTCATAAGATTCTCAATTTGAGATAAGTAGAGAAATTCTTATCAAGAATATTGATCTTGTGGCAGAGGAGGAAGCCATCTGCAAACACTTTTACTATTTTCTGACTTAGCAACCAGCTTCCACTCACAAGACCAAAGAATTCCTTGCCTCTCAACCTTGCAAATAATGTTTTGAATCCTAGGTGTACGGCAATTTAATCTCTGCATTTGCTAAGCTCCTCCAGCAGTCTCATTATTGTATTAGCCACAAGTCATCCACATTCTCAGTTTTCATAAACATATGGCCAACACTTACTTTTCATCATTTTATGAAGCAAGGCCTTCCTCTTAACACAGGTAGGAAAAGCTTGACAATACATTTATAAAACAGGATTAACTTCTCCCTTACTGAGACCTTTTGTTCCGAAGTGAAACACTGTTACTACCATGCCTATTTTATTCTGGTGCCAGCAGGGGAAAAAAAAAATAAAATAAAAGGCACCCCTCTTTAAAGATAATTTATTTCAACAAAAAAAATACTGGTCTGCAATGCTTTCATGATAACTGTTGCAAAGCCTGTACGTTATTAAACCATTCTGGCTACGCTGCTGCTGCTGCGCTGTAACAAGTGGAGGTTACAGGTCGACACCCAACAGGCAGCTACGCCTCCCGTATCTGGGCTGCGAGCCGACCCTGCCTCCCTGCTCTGCCCGGAGGACCCTATCCTCGCCAGGCCCGGCGACACCAGTGGTGGGGAGGCTGCTGGAGCCCCCGCCGGCCGGAAAACGAGTTCAAAGCCCCGAGCGGGGCACAGAGCGAGGTTCTCCCCTCCTCCCGGCCCTCTCCAGCCCCTCCGCCCGGCCCAGAGGGCGCCGCCCCGGCGGCCGCAGCGCGGCTGTAGCGGGGAGAGAGTGGGGAGAAGGCGGCTGTGCCCCGCCGGCGTTTACCCTCCATCTCGCCGTCGAGGTGGGACCGGAGGCGAGGGGAGGCACCTCCCCGGCGTGGCTCCCGCGCCGAGAGAAGCCGAGCCCGCAGCCTTCGCCCCGCACACCCGCAGCCGCCTGGCCGCTCCTCCGGGCCGCCTATTAATACCCTCGTCGCCGCTGGCCCGCCGCCATCCGCCTCCCCCGGCGGGGGCGGGCGACGGGGCACAGCCCGAGCGGTGCCGCCCGCAGGCAGCCTGGCTGCCTCCGAGGGCTGCGCTAAAGGCGGGGATGGTGGGTGGTTTAATGACCGGGGGTGGCCTGTCTTGCGAACTCGGGGGGCTGTCGCTGCTTGTGACAGAGTTTGTTTTGGTGCCTCTGAAGCCTGGCCCGGTGCCTCAAAACTGTGCCCGGGGCTGCGTGGTGCTCCTGGCGACAGGCAGTCGGCAGCCGGGCTGGTCCAGCCCAGCCCAGCCCAGCCCGCTGCCATCCGCCTGGCCGGGCACGACAGCCCGCCGAGGGCAGTTTTCACAGAATCAACCGAATGTTCTGAGTTGGAAGGGACCGACAGGGATCATCGAGTCCGACTCCTGGCTCTGCACAGGACCATCCCCAAGAATCGCACCATGTGCCTGAGAGTATGGTCCTAACGCTTCTTGAACTCTGTCAGGCTTGGTGCTGTGACCACTTCCCCGGGGAGCCTGTTCCAGTGCCCAAGCACCCTCTGCGTGAAGAACCGTTTTCTAATATCCAACCTAAACCTCGCCGACGCAGTTTCAGGTCATTCCCTCTGGTCCTGTCACTGGTCACCACAGAGAAGAGATCAGTGTCTGTCCCTCCACACTCCTCACAAGAAAGTTGTAGACTGCATTTAGCCCCCCACTAAGCCTACCCTTCTCCAAGCTGAATAGAGCTCTTGATGAGTTGTGGCTGACATCCCTGTTGCAGTTCATTCCAGGACACCAGTTCTAGTCAATAGAACACAGGCCTTCTTAATTCTCATCCCTTTATTTTCTCTTAATTACTATTTCTTAAAATAAATTTCTTCCTAATTACTACCTCTTAAAAAAGTAAACAAGCTTTCTTTTGGACATAATGCATTAGTCACAAAAAGGTCTGAAAGTGTCCAAAAATTAAGTACCAATGCCCCCAAAAGTTTGTCTTCCCTTAAAATTTGGGCCTGATTGAAATCTGACAAATATTTTCAAAAGTCAGTTAAATATTCGCACATGAATTAAATGTTTATTCACATGTAGTATCCTAATTTTCCTTGTTTGTGGGGAAATAAGCATAGCTCTTTTTTCACTTAACAGCAGACTTTACCTAGTCATTAAAGACTTCTATAATTAGAGAAGGTAATTTTGTAGCCCAGTAGATATCCTGCTCTGGGATAAATATTAGAGCCTCATTGTGAGAGATAAAAGTGGTGGATGTCACCAAATTAAAAAGTTGGTAGTTGCCTGGGAACAAGCTGATTGTATTCATCATGGGGAAATGAAAGACAGCTGCAGTCAAAACTATGCATTTCTGATGCTTCAAGAGAGCTAATTTCCTCAAACTGAGAAAAACAGTAAAGGGAACCGACAAGGCAAAACGTGTTTAGTATGAACATCAAAAGAGGAGCTCTCTTAAAGCCTCTATTAAATGGCCAAAAGACTATGACTTTGCATTCACAGAAGGCAGTAACTTTACCATAAAAACTCAAACGTGGCAGTTAGAAAGAAAATGGAAAACAAAGAGAAATCGCATAAATTACAGTTACAATAACAGAAATAAGTTCATAGGCAAGCAAAGAATCCATGGTTTAGGAGCCAAAGATAAAGAGGACATTTAAAGTGTGTTAGGAGCAAAAGGAAACCCAGGGATGGTACCGGTCCATTACTAAGTGTGGTATTTTGTTGGTGTGGAAAGTGTAAATATGTTCAGTAAGTACTTTTGTGCTACAAAAGGAACAAGTAGGTGGATGTCAAGGGAATTGTGAAGAACTGGTCCAGCCTGCTAGTTATCAAGAAAGATAGGAATCATGAACACTCTTCTACAAGAAAACTTAGACAACTTTTAGTCCCAGATCCAGATATGTAGGCTTTTTCACCTGTGCTAGTAAACACTGGAATACCTGTGAATTTCCAAAGGTGTGCTAATGTTATACCAGTAGTCAAAAAGGGGCAAGTGCAATGAGAGAAAAATACAGGCCAACATAAGCACCCTAAATAGTAATGGGAATAAAATTTAATTTTAAAATATTTCAAAGAAATAACAGAAATAATTCCAGTCTTTTTTAGGAAGATCAAGTCTAATCAAACTTCTCTAAATTCATTCTTTGATGAGATTGCTCATTTGGCTATGTGCATAGTGACAATTCAGACTTTTAAGCAAGTCTGGAAGAAAATGTAGTATCCCGTGAGATCATTAAAGCAGATGCTAAATTGGCTAATTACTAATGACTAATCAGCCTAAATGACTGATGACAAAAAGTAATGAACACTAAAGGAATTGTATGTTTTTGTGAAAAAGGATCACATTTGAAAATGACGCAAAAAGGAGAGAAATGGCAAAGGTATCAGGCAACCATGTGAAGTAGTCTGAATTGAATTGAGTGGCAAACTGGACCTTGTCAAACAAAATACATTTACTATAACTAAAGCATAATTACTATAATTAAATCCCAGTAAACAAGCTTGAAGGACTGTAGGTGTGTACTGAGAAGGAAATGGCACTTGTTGGAAATGATTTTGGGGTTGTAGTCACCAACACATCATAAACACTCTCTCTGATGTTGGTAAAAGGAAGGATTAACCTGCATCAGGGGAGTAGGAAGTAGGGGAGATAGTTTCATCTCTGGATATATCACTGATGAGACCAATCTTGTATACTGTGTTCCTCACCATGTTTTAAAAAGAACATCAAAAAATTGTAGAGGGCGCTCATTAAGATCTGAAAATGTGACTTGAAAATTGAAGAAAAATTCTGCTAAGTGAGACTTAAAGAGCACAATCTGTTTATCGTATCAAAAAGATTGACTTGATTACAGCACGTAAGTACCTCTATGGAGAAAAAAATACTGCATTCTGAAGGGCACTTTAGTCTAGCAGAGAATGGCATAACAAGAACCTGTAGTAGAAACTAAAGTGAGACAAATTCGAATAAAGCACACAATTTTTCTTCTTAAGGTGACAATACGTCACTGAAACAAGCTAACAAAGGCACCAAGAAATTTTTAATGGTTACATGTCCCCCAGCCAGGACAAGATGTCTTTCTGGAAGACAAGTTTTAGCCAAATGCAGGTTACTGCCCTCATACTGCTTGTACATGTGTGAAATTTAATGACACAGGATACAGAGGAAATCAGACCATATGACTAAATAGTCCTTTGTGTCTTAATTTTTTTTTCTTAGACTAGGTATTTATAAGAAGGGGTGGCAGCTGATGAGCATCTGCTCAAGATGATATTCTTTGTCAACCGACTGCAATCAGTCTGACAAACATGACTACCCTAAGTGTGTAGGATTCTAAACAATCACAGTACATGAGACATTCTTGGCAAGCAGAGTATGAAATATGAAAGACAATCAACATTAGTCACCTATTTTCATTTGTCAGTGCACTAAGCTGACAGTATTTCAATTCCTCTGGGTCATAAAGGAGCTCAGACGAGCTTAAGGAGAAGCTGAAGGAAAGGGCGGAAGAATGAATCTATTAAAAACACTGACCATCAGACTTAGGTAATGTGATAATTAAACCCAAGGTTTGAAATGCTGGCAGGCAATCCAGAGAACTAATTCAATATGCAATATTACACTAGTAAATATACATCAGCTTTAAATATTTATGAAATTCTTGCCCAGCTTGTGCATAAATGAATCAAGTTACCTCACCTGAAGCTATGATCCCCCATAATGAGCTGTGGTATGCAATGAGGACTAAAAGGTTTGACACAACAAGTAATGCCTACCTCTCTGAAGGCAGCCAGGACCACACAACTGAATTGTGTTGCACATAAACTATTGAGAACTGCATTTAAACATTGATGAACTAACATTCTTCTTAAATTGTTGTATTTACCAGGATGTGAACTTGCATCTTCTCTCCTCTGTTTCCAAAGCTGACATGGTAATGTTGACCTCAGTGGCCTTTCTGTTTTCATCATCCTTCCTTCTCCCTGAAGTTTATTCTATGAAGACAAAACCTCTTCAACAAGTAAGGAACCTTCTCTAAATTATGCAGAACCCCAAAGGCTGTAAACAAATAGTTAGAACAGTAGAATAACAATACATTCCTTACTTAAGAGAGAAAGAATTATGTTGAAGAAAATTCATTTTAGAGATAGCATGTAATTTTTTTTTCAAATCCACTACTCCAAAATTCAAAACAAGGATATTTTCCAAAAAAACACTCAATTTTATTTAAGAGGCTCAAAAATTTTGACATACCTAATATTAATATGCAAACTCTAACACCCTGTGGTTGGCTCTGACTTTTAGAAATTATTTAGAAAAATGCAGGCCCTTTAGATGGTCTTAAAGATGAAAGCTTTTAAAGTTACCTTATACTTTACAAATCTAACCTGGAACGTACATAAAATAGAGTTTCGGGTCTTTTTCTGCATTTTCTCCAGGGGAAGCTGTGGGCTCAATTTTTAGAATGACAAGGAATTCACAACTCCAAATGGAGTGGGGAAAGAAAGCTGCTTATGAAAATCAGACCCTGGAGCATTAATAATTGAAGTGTTGTGGTTGCTTCCATTGGTATCAACATCACCTATGGTACTCAAACATTAGTAGTCTGGTGTAGGTAACCAAGACAGTGAAGAAAAAGCATTGAGAGGTGGAAGGGCATTCATTACCTATTTGATGCCTAGAGGAATAATGTTGCTGTGCTACTAGAGACCCACCAAAGGTGAAGACTGATCAGTCTATACAGTAAAGTGAAGAAGTAGTTAGGTTCTCAAGTTGCAGCATCTGATGCCTTCAAAGGAACAATATGGCATTGGATGGCTGACAAAACACATTGTTCAGAACATCAAGGCTCAAAATGACATAACATACTTAGTGAGGCTTGGACCCTAGAGGCATCAGCAAAGACAACAAAGCCAGCAGTAATTTAGTCAACTTGCTGGCAAATCT